TGGCATGAACACATTGGGGGGAAAAAAATGGTTCGTGTTCATGCCAGGATTAAGTGAGACAGTAGGAAATGTCATGATGCTACTCAGAATGGCAAGCAGTTTCAAACTTTGGGATTATTCTTGTAATTTTCCAGTACATATTTTGAACTGGTATTAACTAAGGGTGTATCTGAAACCTTGGAAAGCAAAACTGTGAGTGGCAGGAGGGTTTGGGGGGTACTATATAGTAAAACAGTTGAAAACAAGCCCAAAAAGGCTTTAGGCCCAAGCAGGCAATATTATACAACAATTAAAAAGGAAATTACAGGGCCAGGGATTTAGCTCAGCGGTTTGGTGGCCTGCCTCGCAAGTGCAAGAACCCGAGTTCAATCCCCAGTATCAAAAAAAAAAAGAAAATTACATAAACTACTTAGCATAAATGCAGTATGCAGACACTTAAAAGACAATGTTAAATGGAGGAAATTAACCACAGGATACCAAGTTTTAAGACTACAGTGACTGACACTAGGCAAGCCCTTCTGGATGTAATGAACAGCTAGGCTCTGCAGGAATAGACTTCTTCATCACATTTATGTTGCTATTTACTAAATCCCAGTGTTCAGTTGCCATTATTTCAGAACAAGTTTCCCCATAACTTCACAGTATAACAGAAGTTTGTGGGTTAGGAATTTTGGGAAGGCTTGGCTAAGCTGTTCTCTCTTAGATGACCTCAGGTGGTCACAGTTCCATGTTGGCTGGGGCTGTAGACACGTGAAGATGTGGCAGGGGTGGATGTGCCAGCTAACTCATTCATATGGTGTGAGATGAGACCGGCATGGGGTCTCACAGTGAAGACTCATTACAGAATGACTCAGGGCTCCAGAGGCAAGTGCTCTTGCAAAGCAGTAAGAGCTGCATGGCCTTTCATGGTCTCAGTTGCCATGTAAGTCACTTCTTCCCTCTGTTCAGTTGGGGTACTGTCGGGCCTGCCTAGACTCCATGTGCACATCCCTGATGAAAGTTGTGAGGTCACATTGCAGAAGAGCATGTGGGGTGGCAGTTATAGCCATTTCTGAAAAATACAGTCTGTCACATCTGAGCAAGCTAACAGGAAAGATCTTGTCTCAACGAAGGTATTCATTGTGTGCCTTTATTTCCTGGAGTGATGTTTGCATCATTGGAGTGCCCAACCATTGAATATGAAATTTACTCCCAACTACTCAATTCCAGAGACACAGTAAAGACCACTGTGAAGTCCCCTCCTTAGTAAGTACAGAACTCGATATACTGCACTTTTCTAGATTTAGCTGGTGCCATTTCTTTACTCCAGTGTAAAGGAGATAAAGGCACAAGTAAATATTCTGTTGCTTCACTATGTCCTTCAAAAATCAAGCTAAGACTAATGAAAATATGTTCAGTGATGACTTTTCCTCTATTTTTTACTTTATTAATATTTCAGATTTTAGGGCCAGGGATTTAGCTCAGTGGCACTGTGCCTAACTCACAAGCACAAAGTCCTGAATTTAATCCCTGGTAGGGGGGTGGGGGAGATGATATATTTCAAATTTTAAAAACTACAAAACTAGGGCCAGGGATTTAGCTCAGTGGTTTTGTCGCTT